TTAATTATTTTTAAACATATTTTTATTAGTCATTTAATGTAAAATAACAACTATTGATTATTATATAACCAAATAATTATATTAATAAAATCCATTATCTATCTGTTACCAACTTTTTGTTATTTGTTACCAATTATTCAGTATCATCCATCGCCCATTATCTACCATCTACTACTTGTTGCTTGCTGAATTTTAACTGTTATACTAAATAAGTTCTAAGTGAAAAATGCTTTCCAATTTACTGTCAAATCTCTATATGTAAAAAGCTTTCTATTTTGTTGGTAAGGATTCTAACTTGTGTAAACCCCCCCTCCTTACCCCTTTCTCCCACAAGTTGAACCACTTACTTTATCTTATTAAAACATAAAACATTAGCCTTATCTTATAAAAAAATAAAATAAATTAGATATTTTGAATTATAACAAAGAGTATTAACAATTAGTAGTAACAGGTTCTGGAGAGAGTATTAGTTATCAGTTAGTACATCTGAACAACTTACTAGAAAGAACAGCCTGAGGCTTTCTGCATCTGCCAAGACGACCCATATATTAGTCGATAAAGGGGCTTAGACTTCAAAATGATTCGGGCTTGAAACATCCATAGCTGAATATAAATTGTGAAAGGACCAACCCAACACATTTAGTCAACATGGGCTCGAGTCTTGAAGAATGATTTGTACAGTGCACTATGTCTTGAACAGTATTACGCCATGTCCTCTTGGTCCAAATTAAAACTGAAGATGGAAGAAAGCAAGCACGGGAGTCTTTTGTGAGAAGTTTCAGATTAAACTGTGCCTCAAAAGACGGAAGAACCAGGAATTGTGCCTTAAATTAAAGTTAGATTCTCCACTAGTTTTATCCTCAAGTTGCAGAATCAAATATCAATATTTCCACCGTAAGAAAAGGATCATCAGCAAATTCCATGTTAAAGACTAAAGACTATCTCACCTCACCTTCCTAATACAATGGATGATTTTGGACATTCAACAATATATAGGATTATCAATGACCCTAGCAAATTATTGGTAATTTATTTTACATATTCTTTGTTTAAGTGTTACAGTATATAAGTGAAGTGGGTACATGAATGGAGAAGCCAGAAGAAAGTTGTCTCTTTCTTTCCTTTTTACATTTTTTATTCTTTGATGTTTAGGTTATTTCTTGATATAACTTAAAATGTCAACGAGTCGAAACTAAACCTGAAACTTTGGTTAGAAAATAAAAAAGTGATTGGTTTAGAGGTTGGAAACAACTATTAGTTATTGACTCGTAATTGAACCATTCATATACTATAAATTATAAATAATAATAATTATCGGTCAATTATCAACTTTTAACTATATCAAAACAAGTAATTTAAATACCTTAAAAAAAAAAAAAAAAAAACCTGGGCCCATGGTTCCGCTACTGAATTCCATGATATACTTAAACACAAAAATCATAACCTTTTTGAAAGGTACAGCAGACAACGAAAAAGCATACATACTCTGGGCCCTTATACCTTCCAAAGTCAGGAAAAGTAAACTACTAAACTTGAAACCTGAGTCCACAGCCCAAATCTGCTTAACTGAACTTTTTCTTTTAGATAGAGGACTTGAATCAACTTTAGTGATTAGTGCTTATCTTTATCTTTTAAAATTAAAAACACTTTAATTTATACTTTAAAAATAAAATATTTTAATATTTTTTAATAAAAATTTATTAAAACGACGTAATTTTACGATAATTTTTTTCTTACTTTTTCAGATATAATGCTGATAAATACTATACTTTTAACTTTATTAAGCTAAAGCAAAACCAAAGTCATAGAGGACTTGGTTTTAACTTTATTAAGTTAATGTAAAACCAAAGTCATAGGTCTAATCATCTTTAGATTTACCGT